TAACAGGCCTAACATGAAAAAATAGCCTCTAGGTTCAGCCCACTAAAAACGAAAAAAAAACATTGAAAAAAAAAATCTCAGAATTAATGAAGAAAAAGAAATCCCGAAAACTATATGTGTTTGATTAGACGTGTAAGACATTTGATGTTACCAACAAAAAAAAAGAAAAGAAAAAACTTGTCGCCTAAGATTTAATTATCAATATTGAAAATCATCGAACAAATCGAGAAAATAGAAAAAAAATAAGAGGAAAAACCAAAGATTTCTTTTTCGGGTCAACGTTTTGGATGTCGCAATATAAATGATATAACAAATAATAACACAGAAAATTAGTATCGAATCTAATTGAATATAATGTGTTTTTCCAACCAAAATACACGGGTTATATACATTGGTTATTCAGGAACCAAGATAATACCGCACTCTGTGAGTGAAAAGTATTTTTTCCATCTTGTTCTATTCTGTTCTATATTAATCACACAAACACACACACACAGACAATCATATTAATTAACCGTATGAATAATTCCATCATCATCATCATCGACAGCAAAGTTGATTAGTAAGAAACTTTTTCACATTCATTTATTCATTCAAACTATGAATTTGGAAAAATGATCAGAAAAAAACTGCCGGGTCCCATAAGAATATTCGCACATACACACACACACACACACATGGCGAGATTTTAAGAAGATTATTATATTTACACTGTCATAATCATCATGTACTCTAATATTTCTTGTTTAGTGAATGAGATTGAACGAAAGTAAAGTAGAAAAAACTAACAAACGACTTTACCAATTGAATATTCTTTCTAGTATGATCATTGAATAACATATTTTTATATGACCAAATCTTTATTTTCTTGTGTTTTGATCATCAGATGGTGAAGAATGACTTTCATCATCATCATCATCATCAATAAATGATCTAGTGTCCATTTTCCCATGCTGATACTCTGTTATGTTGGTGGTTGTTACAGAATTCAAAGAATTACGAAAAAAAAAATCAGGAAGTAATAATACAGTAATAATGGACAAGAAAGTTAGAATCCATTGAAGTTATTTATGAATGTGTATATGAAACATTCAGACACACATTGGACATTGAAGACGTTGTCGTTATCGTCAATGTTGATGTTGATGTTGTAACAAGTATCCGAAGAAGAAAAAAGTAAAGCGAAAAAAAAAAAAAACTTCAAAGTTGATTCAAGAACGATCATCATCATCGCTTCATTTCGTGATCCAACGTCATTCATTTTATTCAATGTTAACTTTTACTTTTACTTTATTCATTTGCTTTTAATTCCATTCGATTTAAACCTTGATAGAGAATAATGTATCCTTAAACATTATTATCATCATCATCATCATTTTCACCCAAAACACGTGGTTTTGGTCGATGATGAAACAGTCGTCCAGGAAAGCTTCTAGAGACCGTGATCTGTGTTGGCTATTGGTGGCTGTCGATATTGACTGCTGAGTTTGCCTGATTTCAAACTTCAAACCAATATGATGATAGTGATGATCATAATAAAAATGATGATATGATATGATATGATTTATGATGATATTCTCATGATTTGTGTGGCCAAAATGTCCAGCTATTTATATTGATTGATGGCCAATGGTCCGTGCTTTATCCCGCCAAAATGGTTGCTGTGGTTGTTATCCGCCCACTGCTCTTAACCTGCGTGATCAGCTTTTGATTTGTCAACTTTGCAGGACCATGCGCTGTGACCAACCTGAGTTGCCATGCTTGTTGCTAGGTCCAGGCAGAAATGTCAGCATGGTCACCACGTGGTGACATTATCTGGGCTCATGGACAATTTGAGCAATGATAATTTAGAGGTTTACACTTCCTCTTGTTTGATATATAACATCCCCCCACGTTATCTCTTCGCTAGGGGAGTTCGGCTGGTATGATGGCGAAATTGTATTCTTATGAGGTTGTTGGAAATGAAAAAGAATATAATTCGCTTGTTGTTTGAATATTTTTCTTTTGAAAATAAAATAAAGTTTGTGTATAAGAAAGAGTATGATAGATAATAGGTAAAATGATAAAGGTAATAGGAAAAATACAATGTTTTTTTTAAGAAAAAGAGATATTGTTATTATTTTGTATAATTTTTTTTTCTTTTTTCATTTTATTCAATGTTAACTTTTACTTTTACTTTATTCATTTGCTTTTAATTCCATTCGATTTAAACCTTGATAGAGAATAATGTATCCTTAAACATTATTATCATCATCATCATCAAAGTAGATTTTCATCATTGTTCATATACACATATATAGTGTTAAGACCAATGATTGTTCAGTGAACTAAACATGAATCTCTCTCTCTCTCTCTCTCTCTCTCTCTCTCTCTCACTGTCTCTATAAAAATCAAGTTTTTCATCTTTATAATTTTTATCTAATTCTTAATGTGTGTTTGTATATGTGAAAGAAAGAAAGAAAGAAAGAGAGTAACCTACACAAAAACAACTTTTTTTTTACAATAATAATAACAATATATATATATGGACTTTATGTGACTAGATTATAATCTCATTTTAACATATATATATGATATATATTCATTGTAAATTAAAAAAAAACTTTTCATTTACTTTCTACGATAATAATCTTTTCATGGATAAATTTCACGAAAAGATTTCCTGGACCAAGGTTAAAGGTAGATTTGATTTGGAGCAATGTTTCGTAATATGTTTTCTGTGAATAAATGGCCTGATGGTTTGACTTGTTTTTTTTCTTAAAAAATTTTATTTTGATGTACCCGAATGAATTTCTTTTCTCGAAAATAGTTGATTCATTCATTCATTCATTCATTTTTTTTATGTTGCTAGAAAATATGATGAATGAAACGGTAAAGTCAAGTGAAGAATCAAGCAAAAAAAAAATGAACCGGAAATTCCCATGTTTTTTTATATATTTATATTTATATAAAGACCATACATCAAAGTCAATTTTATCCATTTTTTGTTGTTGTTGCTGTTGTTGTTGATAACATTATTTCCGTTTTATTCCATCATCATACACAACAGTAAGCAAAACACCAAGATGAAAGAATGAAAGTATTTATATGATGAACACCTTTGAATCGATGAAATTATTATCAATATGTTTTGATCACATTTGTATATGATCGATGTCATCAATCAATATGAATGTGATGAATTACCATAATAATGATGATAATAATTTTCTGAAACTTTTTTGATGGAAAAAAATCCTATTGATTCAACCATTCAACTTTGACATCATTTGAGGTCATTTATTCAGTTTTGAGTCAAAACTGAATAAATGAATCTCAGAATTGAATTGAAATACAAAATCTATTGAATGTTCTGTATTAGAATGAATCTTATGAAAATATATGAAATTATAATTTTCATCATCAATGTTAACTTTTTGTTGTTGTTGTTGTTGACGTTGATCATTACTTCTTTTATTCTTTATCGTCTACGTATACATTTTTTTCCACCCACTATAGAAAAATGTATGTTTTTTGATCTCGCTATTATGATTATCATCGTTTGCTGCAACTACTGTTGATGATGATGATGATGATGGAACGATATGGATCGCTTACAATGATGATGATGATATCACATCAGTTATAATAATTCGAATGAATTGTGTGTGCGAACATTATTGTCATTTGTGATGATGATGATGATGATGATAATGGCAATAACCAACTCAAACAATGAACTGAACTTTTTTTTTGTTAGCAAAAAAAAAAAGAAGAAGAATTCGATATTGGATGAAATGAAAGTGAATCCACACCATATTGCCATATATTGGATATATATTCTGACCTCATAAAATGAATGAATGAATGGCCATATATGGTTTGTTGTTGTCGATGGTGGTGGTGGTGGTGGTGGTGAATGGATGATTCGAAAATGATATTTCACAGTGAGAGAATTATGTTTCGGGTTACACTGCAATAGATCATTTTTAGATTGTCTGAAAAAAAAATTTCATCTTTTTCCATCACAGACACACACACACACAGTTTTTGTCGCATATGATTCATTGATTCATTCATTAATCTAAGATGTCTAGATAATGGTCAATGGACAACTACTAGGCATCGTTGGTTTTTTTCCAAAATTTCCATTCCAACAGATATAGGAAAAAAAACGAAATTTTTTTCCATGTTTTAATTCAATTCTGTATCGAAGAATCGTATTAGAAATTTTTCAATTATAATTTGTGACATTAATGTCTACTATTATTGATTGATTTTTCATCTGTTTTTTTTCCTGTTTCATTGTTTCATTTAAATATAGGTCAGATCAACGATTAAAATCCACCAAATCAAATTGAATGGAAATGTTTATGGGGATGGACAACAACAACAACAACAACAAAAATCATCAATAATTTGGCAGTCAATTAATCGAATTTGATTGACAAAATAACAAACATATTCGAAAACCATCAAGCACCGAACATCATTATCGTTGTCAAACAAAAAAAAAATAAACTTAAATTTCAAAATTCATAAGCATAATAAATAATTGATTGATTGATGACAACAACCAGATAAATATTATGAAATATAAATTTCCTTGAATTTAGTTTCATCATCACAGCATAACATCATTTATGAATAATTTAGTCTCAATTTATTTTGTGAAAGTAAAAAAAAATTGTTGAAATGATTTGTTTGTTTTGTGGCTCAGAAAGTCGAATCAAGATTCCACAAATTGTGTGTGTGTGTGTGTGTGTTTTTTTGTGATTTTTTCCATCATCATCAACAACAACAAAATCGTGTAAATTCATTTACTGTGATTATCAATTTAGAAACAAACGTTAGCAATAAAAAACAACCATAAATAAAAAATTTCATCAAATTCTTTTTTTTTCTATGTTTCATTTTTGTTGTGTGCCAAATTCCCACAAAAAATAACCATCAAAACATTCATCATGATCATCGTTTTGGAGAAAAAAACCATATAGAATTGTGTTGTTTGTGTGGTGATGTCCAATTTTTTTTCCATCTATCATCTTTTTCATTCAAATTGTATCTGTGTGAATGAATGCGTGTGAATGTTTTTTCGGTTTTGATAGTTGGTTTCGATTAGAACCATACTCAATTGATATGATATGATTCATGTTTTATTAATAAATCAAAAAAACCTTCGAATAACTAATAAGAAAAATTACGAAAAATTCTCGAATCGAATCAACCACCAATGCGCCGACACATACATTAGTATGAACATTGTTCCAAGAAATCAAATCGTCAATTATGTTTGCGAATTTTCATTTTTTCGGAAATTATTTCTTTTCGCTTTCTCATCTAGATTAATCGAATGACAAACATAATTTCAATCAGTCTATTCGAATAAATTGATTATGATGATGTCCACGCTCATGCCCGTCATAAATACTGTTATCATTTCAGCCCAAGATTTTCATCATCACAATCATCATCAACATCATCATCGTCATCGACATCGAAATCATTCCAGGAAAAATGTGGCCTTATTTCTAATACAAATGAAAAATTTATTAATATTTTTATCATTTACAATTGTGTTTATTGATTATTCATTCCAATATGGTAATTTAATTAAATTATTCTTTTTTTTCAATTGGCAATTTCTTTCAAACAAAAATTCTCATTCTCTGTTTATTTATTTGTTTTGAATCTAATTAGGATACTGTGATGCAAAACAATTGATCTCATCATCATCATCATCATCATCATCATCAATGAATCCATCACGATTTTTTTCACAACAACAACAAAAACTACCATCGATACTATTGTTGCCATCAACGATACCATCCACGATGACAACGACGACAAAGACGACGACATTAGCACCAAAACCTGAACATAAAAGTAAGTGTCCAACGATGGCTGTTTTATTTCATTTCATTTTATTCAATGAAAAAAAACAGAAAAATATGAATGAAACAAAACAGAGAATAAATTTGTCAAATGTAAATTTGACAATTGATAAATGGCATTGCATTTGAGAAAAGAAAAGAAAAAACTTTTGAATGTCCAATGAAGAAAATAAAATATTCAAGTCAAACTGTCGAAATTTCTTTGGGTTTTTGGATTGTGTTTTCGTTTTTTTTTCGTTTGTTTGTTTCGGCACTGGAATTCCATGAGAAAGCAAAAAAAACGGGAAAAAACTTTTTAATAAGCACAAAATGTTTCCGCTGGTACACCCACACACACATACACAAATGCATGATTCCATCAATATTTCGGCGTGCTTCACTCGTGTGTTTGTGTGTTGAAATAAACGAAATTTTCGTTCTTTTTTTTTGTTGAAACAAATGTTTTCATTTTGTTCGATCTATTTTTTTACATTTTCATTAATTTTAATTTTGTTGACTAATTACTCAGGTCTCGCTTGGTCACGAATTCGACGATGCAGACGAATCTTTTACTGTTACGAAAATTTAAGCAAAAAGTTTTCGTTTTCTATAATAATCTGTTTTTCCAGGAAATGATTTGCCGTCTTTTTATCATCATCGAGTTCAATGTTTCTATTGATAATTCTGATGAAAGAAAGAAAAACGAGCACTTCAAAAAAAAAAAATCTCCAGAATTTTTGCAATACATTGCTTAAAGTTCTTTTTTTTCTTTTGAAAAAGAATCCCGAGTTCAAAATCTTATCGTTTATCAAAAAGATGATGATCATGATATCACGATTCATGTCAAAAGCTAAAGATTCTATATTGAAAATGAGAGGAAGAAAAAAAATTCTTGAATTTTTTGAAAAAAAGATTTGCCATTCCTAATACAAATAGAGCAATATGTTAACAATGAAATTCACCTCTATTCTGAAAAAAAGACCCATTTAAATGACATTTCAAATTCCACAAATGAATAATATAACATGTTCTGTGTTTTGGTTGTCATCACCATCAACATCATATTTGAATAGACATTGAATGTCCAATGTTGAAATTCATAGGAAAAAAATTCTGGTTGGTGTTTCAATTTTCTCTCCTTTTTTTCATCTGAAAAAAATCTTGTTTTTTTATGAATCAATTTTTCGATTATCTATGTTCCGGCATATTGGATGGTTTCAATTTCAAAGTCTATTTATCCGAGTTTTTTTCGTTTTATGTTGATCGAAACATTGAATAAAAATTGAACAATATCATGTCATCATCATCATAATCAACCATCAAATTGTAGAAAATTGTAATTTCCAATTTCATTTAATCTCATATAATAGATTTATGAATGATGACAACAGCGGCAGCAACAACAACAACAACAATGCAAATCGTATTTCGCAAGATTCATATGACAATAACACAAACAATATAAATTCAATTTGATTTTCAATTCTAAAATTGATGAAAATTTGCTTATCATGTGTGTGTGTGTGTGTGTCCTATAGCCAGATAGAGAAAAAAACAAAAGGCGACGAAGGAAATCGGCCAAATCAAATCGTGAAATGGTGATGAAATGAAATGAATTAAAAATTCTAATTTATTATTTCATTTATATCGTATTAAATTAATATTTTTTCACATTTCTCATCTTTTGTTCCATTGGTGTTTATTTTGTTTTCCGTTTTGGAAATTGTCTTTATAGAATTTTTTTTTTTTTGTTTTCGAAAACAAATTCTCGAAAATAGCTTGTTCACATTTCATTTCATCCATTTAGTGGTGGGTGAGTATCCGGTCGGATTGTTGTGTTATCTGTTTGATTCAATGAGGATGTGCTGCTGGTGAACAAACGGGCTCAAACAAGAAAACTTTTCAATTTAGATGATTTTTTTCTGCTGTTTATTCATGAATTATCATTATCGAACGTTTTTATCGATTTAAAAGAAAAAAATGAAAATTTTACTTAGTGTCAATCATTATCCATGTTATGATCAGTGTTACAAAATTGAAATTTGTCCACTTTATTTCCATTCTATGTATTGATTATATTAACTTTTTTTCTTTTTCACTATTTTTCCAATTTAGCATATCCTGATCAAAATGTACTTGTCGGTCGTATAGCACATTTACCATGTCATTTGGCTGGACATCAATTTTTCGATGATAAAGAACCTGTACAAGAATCGGAAGATGATCCACCACCTGAAATATTATTACAGCAACAGCAGCAGCAAAAACAACAGTCACAAACAAATATACAATCATCACAGCCATTAGATATGATACAATTGATACTTTGGTATCATGGTGATGATATATCCGGTTCACCATTCTATAGTGTTGATGCCCGTTTACAGCAACAGCCATCATCATCATCATCATTGATGAATAATCAGAATGATTCATTCAATACTAATCAACAACAACAGAATCCAATTACAAATCAATGGAAACATTTTCTAATGGATCCATATAATGAACGTGCCAAATTTGTTGTTAATCATCATACTATTTATAGTAATCAACAACAACAAGAACAAACAACAAAAAAAATATTTGACAATTTTCAACAACAACAACAACAATCAGGAAATATTTTAATCAATCCATTTATGTTGATTATTGATCCGGTACAGGAACAAGATCAAGGCCTTTATTGGTGTCGTGTTGATTATCGTTGGACCCGTACAACTATCTCAAAAGTAAAGCTCAATGTATATGGTATGTGTTTTTTTCCACATTCAAGTCAATACTGATGATGGAAACCATAAAGAATCTTTATGTTTGAATTCAACATTATCATTATGATTCACATTAAAAATATCGTCAAATTCACAAACATATATTTAGATATAAAGCATGAGAAATCCAGATTGAGAATCGAAACCAAAAAAAAAAAAAAAAAAAAACAATAGAACAGCAGTACATTACATATTGAATGAAAAAAAATTATTTAAATGTCAGTTGAGCTGGTTGTGGTGGTGGTTCTCTTCCTTTTTCTACATAATCACACACACACACACACAATCATTATTCATTCATATAACCACAATCATTGTGTGTGTTTGTATCACAGGGAATCACCAATGTTGATGATGAGAATCTTCTTTATTATTAGCATTATCATTATATACGGATGTTATTTTGTTGTTTTTTTTTTGTTCAGATCTAAATCCATTCATATGATGATGATGGTGATGGTGTTGGTTTTCGTTTTCGTTTTCCTTCCTTTTTTTCTTGTTTGTTTGGTTAGAACGAATGTGAAACAAAAATGAACAGAATTTACTCATTTATTTCATTTTTATAGCTTAGAATATTTTTGCAAATAATAACAATAATAATGATGATGATGATGATAACCCATAATTATAATAAACCCAATGAACAGTGTTTTGTTTTTCTCTCGTTTCTTTCAAACAATATTTCTGCTGATGTTCTATGATGAAAAATTTTATTTTCCTATTTGAAATCAAACAAACAAACAATTGTATTTTGTTTTTGATCTCTTTTGTGTTTGTGCTTGGAATAAGGGTATATTTCTGGGTTAGTAATTTTTTTTTGAACATAAAAAGATATACTATGAAAAATTAATTATTGAACTACATAATTGAATTTAATTCATCATTCAATTCTAATTGATGATAACAAAAAAAAAACATAATAAATTTTTTGTTTTGATTTTTTCCGTTTTCTTATTTCTTTTTTTTTCATCACATTTTTAATTTAGTTCCACCAAAAACGTTGACAATCTATTACTGGTCATTTACATCGATTATTCATCATCAATCATCATCACCAACATTATCATCAGAATTTCTTAATAATAAAAACAATACGGAAATTGATTTATTTGAACAATTTAAACTTGAATTACAACAAATTCTTTATCAACAACAAACATTATTGTTGAATCAAAGTCATAATAAGAATCATCATTATCAAACATTATTTAACCACCATCGTTGGCAATCATTATCATCATTTTTTCCATTGAAAGTGATTGAAATTAAATCAATTAATGTTATGATTGATTCAAGTGCCCCTAATAAACAACAACAACAACAACAATCTTCATATCAACAACAACGTACACAATATATACCGATTATCAATGTTGATGAACATTTGGATGCAATATTCGTATGTGAATCATTGGGTGGTGAGTAGAATTAAAAATTTGATTTTTTAAAGAATTTATAAAATTTTATTTATAATAAATACGAACATAAAAAAAACATTTATATGAAAATGAGTGACATTCACGATTAAAAATTCATTCAATGAAAACCAAACGACATATTCGATCCATACATATAAATACGGGTAAAGAAGATTGTAATATGCACGAAAACAATGATAAAATAACTCAATAATCCAACACCGATTACAATTGCCAACACTTTCAATAAATCAGTAATGATAACAAACCAACAAACAATAATGGCCATGAGTAATTTTAATGCCAGAAAACTTTTAAATGAGAACAAAGTTCTTGGAAAATAACGTCGATCATTTTGTTCAGGAATTTCTTCATCTTCTTCTTCATCATCATCTTCTTGTTCTTCATTTTTATCTTCTTCTTTTTCTTCATCATCTTTTTTTTTCTTTTTTTTTTCTTTTTCTTTTTCTTTTTTGTCTTTTTCTTCTTCTTCCTTTTCTTTTTCTGGTTCTTCATGTATTGTATCTAATGACATGCCAAAGTATCCCCAATCTTCATCTGGTTTACCCATTGTTTTTTTTTTTTTTTGATTAGAAAATTTACTTTTGTTTATAAAAAATGATTCAATAGTTTTAATAAATTTGTTTTCAATTCAGTTGTGTTGTGAATGTGATTTTAATGTAACGATTCAATGTTTATATTTATACAAAATCACATTGATTCTAAGCTGGCCAAACAAATTAATCAACAATAACATAATGAAAAATATGAATTTTCAATGAATAATAATAATAATAAATTTATTTGATTTGAATAATTTTATACAATCAAGAATTGAATTTCATTTTCAAACAATTCTTACTTTTTCCCATTGTTATTGTTGCTATTCATTTGTTGTTTGAAAACTCGAGAGCCCAAAGTAATTTTTTTGTTTTGTTTTGTTTTGTTTTATTGCAAATAAAATGATAATAAATTCATTCATTTTGCTTTTACTACACATCTCTTTATTTGGAACATTGGTTGGGAAAAGTCAAAATTTTTGATATTTTGTATTAGAAAACATGTCTTGGTCTGTGTAAATATCTTGATAAACAATCCAAACACAAACACACACACACACACACACACACACATACTTAAAACTTTCAAAAATATTATGATGTACTACTTCAGGGCCTAGTTGGCCCAAATGTTTGAATGGTGCATGGTTGTCCATTTCATATCGATTCTTTTGCCAGAAAAATAATTCAAAAATTCTCTCTCTTTCTCGATCTCAATAATTCAGATATACTTTTCAGCATCTCGAACCATTTTTTTTCGTTGAAAAAATTAAAGAAAATAAAATTTTATATTTTCTTTATATTCACATTTGTAAATTGAAATTTATTTCAACAGAGAAAAAAATCTGAATCTGAATCCAAAATCAAAATCAAAATCGATTCGTTCGTTCATTCATTTTCGATCATGGCTGTTTGTTGTTGTTGTTGTTGTTGTTTTTCATCGAATCCAAATTCAATTCCATTCAATTTGATGATGATGATGATGAGGATGGAATTTATTTTTCTTGGTTCCATTTTTTTTTTATTCTCCAAATTCATTTCATCTCAATTTTTGGTCAAAAATTTGAGTGGTGAAGTGAATAGTTTGTATACAAAATTGTTGTGTGTGTGCATAGTATTTGTGTTCATTGAGATATGAAAAATATACAGATAAAAATTTCAAGTTTTATTTTTGGTATCCAAATGTTATATATTTTTTTATGATTTAGAAAAACTTTGTTGAATGCTCAATAAAAAAAATTCTCTCATATCTGATATATAACATGTGATATATTTGTCCAGATAAACAACAACAACAACAACAACAACATCAAAGGATGATTGACCATCATATAAAAATTGATGATGATGATGATGAGTTCAATGTTTGTTTGTTCAAATTCAATTCAATTTATTCAATTGAGCATTTTGAAAATTTTTTTTTTTAAATTTTGTTATTGTAACTAAACAACACGAAGTAAGGTAATAGAAAATGTTTGTTTGTTTGTTTCCTTAAGTGTTTCACTCTTGTGAATGAGAGATCGATCCGGTGATCGAGTAACCGAGATGAAAAAAAAAATTCCATTTGTGTGTGTGTGTGGCTCAAACAACAATCTTCAATAAATGTCTATTTTTCTCGTTCCATTTTTTTTCAGAGTGAGTAAAACTTGAACAAAAGAATTCTGGAAATTTTTATATTTAAAAAGTTTTCGTTTCGAATAAGAGAGACAGAAAAAAAAACATTTCAGTTTTAGTATTTTTTTGAGCATCTTGTTATTCTTGAATTGCTTTGACAATTTTTCTTTTTTAATGTTCACTCACTCTAAATATTTTTTCCTTTGCTTGGTTTTTCTTTGTTGACATTTTTTTTTATTTTTCTCTCCCTTCCCCCCCACATTTCTCTCTTTTACATTGTTCAGTCAAGTTGTTTTCGGTCGTATTTTATGGACAAAATTTTTTTTTTGTTTTCAAAAATTGTCCATCCATGTCCATATCCTGAGATGTTTTTTAATGTTCCATAACCATGTTTCCATCAATTGTCAGTAAGAAATTTCGTTTTCTGTATACATTTTTTTTCTTTATCTCTTTCCCGGTTTTCTAATCATCATCATTGAATGAATGAATGACGATCGTCATCTTATTTTTCGGATTATTAAATCTTTCATCAGATCGGTTTCTGGTATTTTCCGTATGGAAATGGAGTTTTTTCACTTTTTTTCTCAACAATTGTTGGTGTTGAATGTAACAAGATACTTGTTGTAATAAGAAAATTATTATCAAAAAAATTTTTGTGGAAGAAATACGAAAAAAAAATTTGGTTTGAAAAGTTTTTTTTTCTTTTGTGCAGACCAATGTCATCATTGCAAATAATGATGATGATGACAAGCAGACAGAAAAAAAAATTTCTACATCGTCTAAATGTTTCGATGACCCTATGTTCATATGTGGATGGAAAATTTCTTTTTCACTTTATACATACGCCACCAGTATCTTTTTCCATTTACCCTCACACTCCCCCACCCCCCCAAAAAAAAACAACAGGAAAAAATAGGAAAATTCATATAATCATCAAGTCAACACCAAACATTTGGAATCGGAATCTTTTTTTTTTCTTCATTTTCGGTAATTTTTTTTCCCCACTGTTACACATGTATTTTAATCGAACACGAAAATAAAATAAAATTCATTACATCACGTATTAAACATTAGAATGGTGTATAAACTTGCTTGAACATACACAAGTCCTTTCCAAGTTTCACATTCATTCATTTATTTTGATTTCAACATCAAAACTTGAACAAAATGGAATGAAATAAAAACAGAAAAAGGACATCTCGAAACATTTTGCTTGTTTCAAATATGAAGACATTCATTTTTCTTTCATCACATCTTGTTTTGTGTAAATTGGTCATCTGTTCAGCTGTTTTATTTTCTATTTGGCTATTTTTTTTTATTTGGAATTTTGGTTGTTTTATTTTTTTTAGCTCTTATTTCCTCTATGTTGTATATATATAACAAATATAAAAGACACAAAACTCGTCCATCGTGTGTTTATCATCATCCAGATTTACGTTGAATAATATATCCCTTGAGATCAATTATCCGACCTTATTATTATTAACCAGATTTATCTTTTTCGGATTCATTTTCCATCATCCTCTTTAAACATTGATAATGAGTGTTTTATATGTGTTTTTTTTCCACACGTAAACCCGTGAGACAACGAACGTAAAGTTATATGGTTATTTTTTCATTTGTTTGTTTCTAGCTGATGTTGTCGTTGCTTTTTTATTTGAACATTTTTTTTTGATTCTATTCCATGTAATTCTCAATGTGAATGAATGAAAATCATGTAATGGAATTATTCATGAATTATTTAATCGGTTGTGTTATACATACTCCTGTGTAAGAGATTTGTAACGACGAAATAAAACGTATAATAATATTTTGTAACAAAATTCTTGTTTTGTTTTGTTTTGTTTTTTGCCATGCATGACATCGACTAATGTCATGTCCGTAAAAAAAACGCAATGAGTAAAAAAAACAAATTAGTGTTATGGGAAAACAAATGGAAAAACAAATTAGTAAAATTGTTTAACGAGAATAAAAAATATATATTTGGCTTCATTCATTCATAACCTAGAAATCTGGTTGTGAATAACTTGAATGAACCGGAACTTGTATATTCATATAATACGTGATTTTGTTCAGTGATATATATGTGTGTGTGTAGTAAAATAAATGTTGTTTTTCTGACCATTTCTCTGACCAAATGCCCTACCCCCTCACTCACCACTATAATTATTTCAAGAGAAAACATTCAAACACTATACTTGATAAATTTCGTTAACCAAAACCAATTGCTTATGCTATGTTGTTGTTGTTGTTGTTGTTGTTGTAAAATCTAATCTAATTTACAATCTTATAAACATTACAATAATAATGGAATAATTTTCTTTTGCAACAACATCACAGTGGTAGATTCTATCACTAAAAACAATACTAAAACAGTAAAAAGTGTTGAGTAAAAATTCTCGTACAATAATTGTGTGAAATGAAGATTTATATTGTAAATAATGTTATTATAACGAATAACAATCAACCAAGTTGATTTTTGATTTTTTTTTTTTTTGGTTTCTCAATTACTGTGTTGTGTTTATATATGTGTTGTAAATGTCTAATTCAAATGAATAAATTTTTCACTTTTGAACCAAGGATGTGTGTAATTCTATATACTTGAGACAAGTATCATCATCGTATGTGATCCATGAGTGATACACGAATATAGTAGTAATATTATTTTTTTTTTGTTAGTTTAAATGGACAATACATGACCAAGTGGATTGATGATGCCAAACACTCACACACACACACACATATAATATACATACACTTATGAACATTATGATTATGATGATGATTCATAATGTGGCCTAAAATATTATTAAATATTTACCTTTT